CCAAGAAATTTCATAAGAATAAAAACATCTTCATTATTTAAATCCATGTACTAGTTAGATTGAACTGGAAGTTCAAAAGATAATCTATTTGCGATTTTAGCAAATAATCTGCCGAATACATCTATTGATCATAATGATCATAAAAGAAGTGACTAGGTCCTATATCCTTGGACCAAACATAGCTATCGATACTCCTTGACACCAGAAGTGTAGGAGACCTATCGGTGAAAGAAATATGAATCATAATACTAGATCTAGTAAAGAAATATTGTCACTCTTGAAATAGTTTGAATAATTATGTCCTGCAGACGTTCGTCCAGATGACGAAAAACCCTGGTAAGACTTATAGGTGCACCAAAAAAACGTAATACTAGGGATGCGGAACGACCAGATCAAAATATCTTTGGGAAATGTTTAGAATCTGGTTGTTTTAGAAATTGCCATTACTTTTACAAATATGGGAGTTTTACAAAAAAGTTATAGTTGTCGACAACACAATTGCTATTACAAATTGCTCGTTATATAATCTGGATCCAGAGTTAGGCACCAGAAGTGCCATGACTATTTAATATATAAAGGAGAAATTAAGGCATAGCTTGACTCGCTAAAATGAATAAATTCTCTTTATAACAATACACCATTTGAGCGTTAACCCTGAAGGTTACAAATGGGTGTGTGCATAAAAGAGAAATAAGAATAATGAGGTGATAAAGCGAGTTTGTAGCCTATGGGTTCACGCAGAGACCCTTAATTGATTTTAATCAAATATACTCTCCCACGGTAAATGGCATTAAGTTCCGCTACATAATACAATTGGCAGAATAATAAATTCAGATATGCAGTTAAATTTATCTTGAGAAATCCTTGATGGATTCATAATTCTCGAAATGAGGATTTTGAAGTATTATTATGTGTCATTATTTACTCTTTAAAGGGTTGCGAATGGAGTTAATATCCTCATTGAAGGAATAATATGTACCATTGTGTGCTCGATAAAGGGTTGATAATGAACTTATTATCTCAGTCAAGATTGATGGTGTAAACATCAATGAAATATATAAAGAACTCGATAATGTCAGTTCATGTTTAAAGACTGAGACTTTTGAAATAAAAAGCTTGTGAAAGCTATAAGTATTATCTCGACTTGAAGATCGAGTTTTTCTTTGAAGATTCTTTTATATACACCAGTCAACCTACATCTAAAAATGTTTTTTTTTCACATGTCTATATGCATATAAGTGTCATGTTTTTATCAAACTAAAGGTTGCCTAATAATCTCTTGAAGCAGATAAGGAACTTTTTTGGACTCGAAGTCCCTTACTTCATCATCATTGGAGCACTATTATAGAACCAGAAGTTCCATAACCGCAACATATTTGCGATAAAATTGCTAGCAAAATCTAGTGTTCCCCCTACAAATGAAGTACTTGAATAATGATTGACATATCCTCCGGTATCTTCGAGATACAAAAACATGACATTTATGTAAGAAACCATGATACGGTTTTAATAGGCTACTTGGGTACTGGCTGTTTTTGTTTGATCCCCGCAATGCCAAGTCCAAACTGGTTATACAATGTCTTTCCCTAAATGTTCAAAATGAGGACAATAATACTTGTGTTGCACAAATGTTATATGAGCTCTAGAAGAGCCATAAGATTATTAGACATTTACTCTAGTGACAATCCAGAAGATTTGTCCAATCCATTTCTTCAAATTTTTGAAATATATGTAGAACTTGAAGATTTTTATCTTCAGGGGGAGACATGAAGTACATTTACTCGAATCAATCCGGAAGATTGAATGTGAAATCCTGAAGATTAAGTCATAAAAGACTCACAGTTGCGCATTATTTGCAACACATAAATTCATAAATATCATGTACTCTTTTCCTCACTAGTTTTCTCCCATTGGGTTTTTCTAGTGTGATTTTTAACGAGGCATGTGTATGATATAGTAATGACAATGGAAAAGGTTGCAAAATAATTGCTTAAATGGACAAACCCCAAAATCCTGAAGATTATGCAGTTTGCGCCCTGAAGGCTTATGGTTGTACTCTTTTTCCCTTAACTAAGTTTTTCCCACAGGGTTTTCTTAAGTTAAGGTTTTTAATGAGGCGACCAATACAATATATGTTTTTATATATATCATGTACTCTTTTCTTCAACTAGGTTTTTTCCCACGTGGTTTTCCTAGTGAAGTTTTTAATGAGGCATGAATGTATGCTATCCATATACCTTGTACTCTTTTCTTGTCTAGGTTTTTCCCACTGGGTTTTCCTAGCAAGTTTGTTATTAAAGCAAGATTGTGGACAAATAATGTCCAAGGGGGAGTGTTATAAATATTTCATTCATTATGGACATTATTGTTGGTTTGTAACATATGTAACAGTTATGTCATTTAGTATAATACTTAATGATTGTACATGTATATATATTCAGATATTGAAATAACAGATGGAGGGGTCTCTCTGGCTTATTGTGTTCTTTATCTCTTCTCTATCTTCTTTATCTAAATTCCATTGATCAATATGTTTGAGCTAATAAACATATTACAACAGTTATTGAGTTAATTCCACCAAAATCGTTTATCTTGTCAATTTCAAATTTAGTCCCAGACTATCGCATTTGTCATTTAACAATCTAGACGTACTATTATTTTTTGAACACTTTAGTTCTTCAATTCTTATAACTTTTCATATTTTTAGTAAGGGTATTTTTTTCTTTATATATATATATATATATATATATATATATATATATATATATATATATATATATATATATATATATATATATATATATATATATATATATATATATATATATATATATATATATATATATATATATATTGGTTTCAATCGGTTTAATTGGTTTAAGACTTTGGGTAACTTTTGATTTTTAGTAATCATATTTTTCAATCGATTTTTAGTAAAGTCCTAAACCAATTAAACCGGTTGAAATATGCAGGGACTGAGAGGACATGAAGTCTCAAAGATAAGTCACTTAACATTTGAGTAACTTCACTAATTGTTGACTTATCTTCAACATTTTCTTGAACACACAGCAACGCAATATGGATGCATTTTGTTATATCATCCACTGGACTTGACACACCTCTCAGCATTGGATCTATCATATTTGAAGAGACCCATCTTTCCAATGTGTCCAAGCCTATAAGAACAATCACAAGTTGTTTATGTTAATTAATTTGTCACTCGTACGCAAGTCGATATTGATATTCAATTCATACTTACATAGCTTATAATTAAGGTCTAAGTCATGTTCAAAAGTAGTATTCTTTTGACCACTTATAATTTCCAGGACTAACACACCAAAATTATATACGTCTGATTTAACAGAAAATTGGCCATGCATTGCATACTCTTCTGGTGCCAAATATCCGCTGCAATGTGAAGTGGTTAAATGCGTTCGTTACTCTTAGTAAGTGAACTAATTAAATTACTTTGTGATGCATTAGTATCAAGGGAACAAATTGGAAGACATGTTTGAGATGTATTACCAAATAAAAAATTGTCAAGACTGCCATTGGGAACAAATTCAAATACCAAAAGCACTTATTTTCCTTCCAAGCTAAAACTATGCAAGAAGCCTGACCAAATTCCTGTGTTGAAACTTGACCATTAAAGCGACCTCATTTTTAAATTCTTGACTGCCTCCCTTTAAATTTTGAGACAACCTCTTCACAACAACTTGTTGTCGGTCTCTAAATGTACCCTAAATTATTCCCGAATAAATATTAAAAAGAAAATCAACTATTGAGTTATAGAAAAACAAAAGTGTATTATATTTATTTATATCTCTATGCTGAGACATAGAACATGGGATACAAACAAAGAGCTTAAAGAAGACAGAAGGAAGCAAGAAATCATATCCAGAAGTTTTTTTAATTCTTGTATACAATACTAAAACGTTAATAACCATATTAAAGTAAATGCTAAATTTATCTTGTATACAATACTAAAATCTCCTACTCCTATTAGATTTGTGTGGGAGAAGTTATTTGTTGCATTATGAATAATGATGAAATCATACTCCACAGACTCCTCCGCAAAACTAATTTCTTTCGAATCAGCTTCACACAGAAACCAAGAATGATCTTTTGAGATTCAAAAGGGGTGTCAAAGTGGCCGAAATCCGCGGGTTAGGGCTGCAGAAAATTATGCCCGTGAAAATGCCGGCCTAACGGGCTTGGACCGCGAAGGGTCAGAGCTCGTGCGGGTTGCGGGCTACACTGCGGGCCAAGCCATATTAAAAAAAAAAAAATTATTATCTTAATTCTTAGGCATTTTGTACTCCTTAGCCCTAAATGATTTAATAATTCCTAATTCTTAATTCAATAATTCTTAATCCCTAATTCCTTAGGTAGTCTGTAGGCTAAATCCCAAATTCTTAATTCAATAATTCCTAGATCCAGCAAACTCCCACTACACCAAATATGACATTTAGCGGCGGTTTTTTTTACGTTTAACGGCGGTTACTGAAGCGTGTCTAAATAGTGTGTCGCGAAACATTTAGAGGCAGTTTTCTACAACCGCGGGAATTCATGGGAAACTTATTTAGCGGCGGTTTTGAATGCATTTAGCGACGGTTACAAACCGCCGCTAAATAAATCTATTTATTTTCATTTGCTTTTAGTGGCGGTTTTGAAACCGCTGCTAAATAAATCTATTTATTTTCATTTGTTTAACCGCCGCTAAATAAATCTATTTATTTTCGTTTGCTTTTAGCGGCGGTTTTGAAACCGCCACTACATAAATCTATTTATTTTCATTTGCTTTTAGCGGCGGTTTTGTAACTGCCACTAAATAAATCTATTTAATTGTATCCTTAAATTTTAATGGCAGTTATTAAGTGTCGCTAAATGTTTTATAATTATATTATTATATTTTTATAATAATCATTTAATTATATTTCTTCAAAAATCTTTATATTCAAATGCGTATAATCACAAATAAACTCTATATACACATTTAATTAAAAAGAAAATTAATTGTAACTAATATTATTTGTCAAATAATAACATTTAATAGTATTCAACAGTATTCAAAGAAGTTGGTTCCTCATCTTAGATAGTTCAAAACACAATTCTTCAAATACACGAAGCTGAGCAGATGCAGGAAGCATGGCATAGAGAGGTACTGTTGTTCACTGGTAAATTTTTCTCCATTCTCGCTATGTCTTGAACATTTGTGGTTGCTCCTAAAGCTGAACACATGCCATTGGTGGAGAAAAATGAGCACATATAGGAGCAATAGTGACAGGATCAACTTCTCTTCCAGTAGTCCTTTTTCCCAGAAGCAATGTAGGTCAGCATTTCTCTGTAAGCATCCATCAACTTCTCTTCATATTTGGAGGTCGGAGGCTGACGGTCGGCGGTGGATGGCGAGGCTGGAGGGTAGCGTTTGGCGGTCCTAACGGTTGTGGACGGCGAGGCTGAGGGAGACTCAGAGAGTCGGAGCATTCTATTTCAGTACAAGTTTTGAGATTTCAGAATTAATAACTTATTGAAGAGTGGAGAAGAGATTAAATACCTTAGAGAGGAGTCATGGCGTGGCTACAATTGATTCTTCTTTTGAATGAAGGACTCAATAACCCTAATCTAAATCAATGGCGGACTGTCTTGGAAGAAGGCAACGGAAGAAGGCGACGGAAGAATGCAACCAGGGGCGGAGGGACATGGTGGCTACAGGGGGCTTGGCCCCCCTCAAAAAAAAAAAAAAATTTATTAATATTAGTAGGGGTAGATGATTTAGTTTTTAGAGAAACATGGTAACTGGGGCCTTGGGCCTTTGCCTCCCTAAAAAAAATTATTAATAATATATTACTTTTTAGCCATCCATCCCACCAAAGTATGGATTGTTATGCCGTGAAATCGTGTCCACCTTGCAAGGTGAATACGGTTCTATGTTTATAATTATTAAACTCTATGTTCATAATTATAAAGCTCTGTATTCATAATTTTTGAATTTTATATTCACAATTATTGAACTCTATATTCACAATTACAAAACTCTATATTCATAATTACTGAATTCTATGTTCATAATTATAAAACTTTATGTTCATAATTTTTTAACTTCATATTCACAATTATTGAACTCTATATTCACAATTACAGAACTCTATGTTCATAATTATAGAACTCTATGTTCATAATTTTTGAACTATATATTCATAATTATAAACAATTTTGGAACTGTGTCCACCTTGCAAGACGGATACGGTTCCACGTCATAATTTGCCCCAAAGTATCTACACTCTCCAAACAAAAACTTCCAGACTAAGATTCAAAATCTTATTTGATTCGCAATTAATATGATTTCTTCTTCTTGAACATACACAATCACACATTTGCTAACAGGCTCCAAATTTCTTCTTGAAATATGTATAAGCCAAAAATATGGCTTATACATATTTCTTATTCTTTTTTTTTTTTTTGGTTTCCCAAATTCTTAATGATTGTTTGTTAGTATACAGTGAAAAACAAATTGCAAAACAATTTAGTATAGATTCAATTATAGACAATTTTTGTGACATGCAAAAAAGACGTTATAAATTTTAGTAGATTTGTAACATAATAATGTATTTTGGAATAGGTTAAATGAATATTAATGTATTTTATTATTCTCTCTTAAATTGTCATTGGGCCCCCGCAACAAACAATCCTGGCTCCGCCCCTGAATGCAACAAAAGACCTGATTGAAGTCTCCAGTGTGATAAAGACAACTGCCAGTAGGCTATAGGCACTTGTGGTTGTACGATGATATGGGCCACAAACAACAATCATTTTTGTAAAAAACTTCAGTTCAAAATCAAATCATATATAGTCAATTTTTTTTTTAATCTATGCAACTATATAAGAGTTAATAATTCATGAAAATTGAAAAACAATCTTATATACCATTGTTACAAAATTCAAGGCATCTTCCAGCTTCCCTTTGTCAAGAGCAATCTTTTGTCAAGAGCAATCTTAGAGGACTCCAGTAAGGTTCGACCATAAGCAAAAGAGCATACAACATGCTGTGAAGATCATTTTGATGAACAATATTCTTCTGTTTTCACTACTTAAAAATACTAATGCCAGCAGAATATCAAAGAATTTTATAAGCTAAACTGATTAAACAAAATTATAAGCTAAGTGAAAGAAACCTTACTTTACACAAATTAAGGCACTAAACTGATGACATCAGTTTCACAAAATGGATTTGAACTTTCCACGTCATAATCTCTGGAAACCAACTCTATCCCAACCTATGAAGAAAAAAAATTCAATAGTTATTCACAAAAGCTAAAGAATAAATCAGCTAGTTGTGATACTACCTTGTGACAGAGTCCACGAAGAATTGACAATTTTCTCAAGCATCATTCAGATTCCAACCAAATCTTTTCAAAAGAAATTCACTTAACCATTGGAACTTGAGAATGAATTTAGTCATCACTCAATTTCTCTTCTCTGGGGCTTCCATCCTCCCTTTGGTTCAAAATTGTGAACTGAAAGACATACATTATCTTACTATCTTTTGATGTGTAGGTTGACGATGGCCGTTTACCACATTGATAGATTGATATCATGCTAGCTTATATATCTAAATTATGAAAGAAACCAATGAAATGTTGAGAATGAATCATGATCTGCAAATTATATTTTTATCAGAACAAAACTTGACACTACTTAATACTTATACATACAGAGAGCCATTATTACCTTGGCAGATTGATCAGCAGCCTTGCATGCTTCAATATATGGTTGCTCTATGTCAAAACTATTCCATTAATAAAAAGTAATAAACCAAAATAATCTGAAAAACAGTTTCTCAAAACTACCAAACTCAAGAAGGTCCACAATTTATGCATGTCTAAATATTCTTAAAATTAAAATGATTCCAAAGACATGAGGAAATATTAATGTAAAAAGGTCCACATTATCTTATAACTTATAAGCATGTATGGTCTAGCTTTAAATGAAAGATGATTATAAAACAGTAATCAGAGACGAATAATTAGTAAAAATATATACTAAGAGACAGAACTTGCTCACTTTCTTAGTAATATTCATTTTATCCTTAGTTATTTTAACCTTCATTATTGTAGCCTTCACTCTCTTAACTAGACTTAATTATCTTTCTCTTATCCCCTGTTAATCTGTTATCCTTCTTAGTTCAAGAAAAATATAGTCACATTTTATCCTTAGTTATTTTAACCTTCATTATTTCAGTCTTCATTATCTTTTAACTAGTTTTATCCTTCTTAGTTCAAGAGATTAAAAAAAAGGTCACATTTTATTCAAGATAAATAAAGATACAAACCCTAAATGTGATTAGATTTTAGGAAAATTTTGAAAACACAAAATATAATTCCCTTCCAAGAAATTAAATGTAACTCTAAATCAGTATGTGCAACTAGAAAGTTCTTCCAACAAATTCATGGACAATAAAGAAACATACTAAGTTCATGAAGCATAAAGAAACAAACACAGGAATTTCCAAACCAAAACATTTATTACACACCACAGCCAAACTATTTTCCTATTGACACAAAAATAATTAACAAGGGCAAATAAAATAAGAACAGTACATGGATATATTGGCGACAGAATACTTGACGATGGTGCCCGGTGACAGAGTGATTGACGACAGCGTTAGATGTGATTGTCAAGGAAAATCAGTGAAGAAGTGAAAACTGAGAAAGTGAGAAAGTGAGAAAGTGAGAAAGTGAGAAGGGTGTAAGGTAGGGCATAATATATATTTATACTAATATGTAAAATAAAAAACCAAAACAAAACAAAACAATTGAATTGCATCGTGAATTTTTTTCCGACGAAAACTTCCAACATACAGTACAATACCAGTTATCAGGCCGCCGGCAGAATTCCTTGACAGTTCATCGGAATTCAGAAATGACCGGAAATGAATCGAAGCAGCTTATCACTGGTAACCTCTCAGAAAACTAGAAACACCCCCCTTCGTCCCCTTCGTCCAGAGGCGGAGTTCTCGACTTCTCGACGCCTCGCCGGCGCTGTCGCAACGGAGGGCGGAGGCGGAGACCAGAGACTGAAAATCACACGGGCAGTCGCAGTGCAACGAACTAGCGGAGAGTGGAACTGGAAATTGCAAGCGAGCAGCTAGGGATTTTAGATTTTTAGGGATTCAATGTCTCATGTCTAAATAAGGTTATGGAAGAAAAAAGTGTTAAGGATTGAATTGGAGAACGGCAGACTGGCGGAGAGTTGTGACTTGCCAGGCTTTTAGAGTCGGAATTTTTTTTAAACACTTAAATAGCGGCGGTTACTGAAACCGCCTCAAAATATTCATTTAGCGGTATGTTGCTAAACATTGAATTTGTTGTAGTGTCCCGTCTTCGTCTTGCCTCCAACTCCAGCAAACAATTACAGAATTACTAAATCGCCTCCAACTCCAGCGAACAATTACTAAATCGATCACCTTCAACTCCAGCAAACATACATATTTATATATGTATTATACACAGACGGAGAGATTTGGACATTGAATCCTAACTTTGAAACAGTGTGTCGTTAAGAGGGAAAACCTAAAGCCGAGAGAGAAACAGAGTGTGTCGTTGAACCCTAGCTCCGATCACCCTTGTGCTCAACACGCGGTATCGATCGTGGAGATTTGGGCGAGGTTGATGGGTTTTATGGAAGTTTCTGGTGCATTGAGGTGTATCATACACTGAGGATGCGAAAGAATGACCAATAAATAGCGATATTATTGCCAACGATTTTAACATGTTTATAAGTTTATGTACTATTCAATTTTTTTAAAAAAATTAAGTGATGGCTCGCGGGCCAGTCCGCGAAACCCGCAAGCCGCGAGCCCGCATGAACGCGGGCTTGGGCTATGTAGTTTCAAGCTCGCGGGCTTCGCGGGTCCGTCCGTAAAAACCCGCCAAATAAAAACTCGCGGTGGGACGGGCTGGCCGGCATTAACACCCCAAGATTCAACGCACAACAAGTAATTATGAATCTTAATAAACAATAAAACATGTTTTAAAGTCAGGGGTATTAACAATTAGGCTGCAATTTGAAGTGTTATTGGTGCTTACAGTTTTCATAACATTTGGGCTTCAATTTCTTCATTTTTCTTAAGATTATTCTCTCTGTATGTCAATTTAGAGAGTCTAAATAAAATTATATTTTTTACTTAGGATCTTAATTGTGTTATCCGTTTAATTTAGGGAGTTAATTTAGTCTTTTTTTTTTTTACATTATTCAATAATAAAGTGCACCCTAGGAACACATTTTGTATATTATTTATGAGGTTCTATGTATGTGTTCCTCCTTTTGAAAAGACGAATTCTTTAACATACTTGTAACTTTCAAGCTAAGAGTGATACATATAACATAGTGTGGAGCTAAATACACCTCATTCAAACGTGATTTTTATCTCGCACATTAAATATCTCGCACATGGGCTTCAAAATTCAAATGTGATTTTTATTTTTATCTGTTTCTCTTCTTGAGACGCATAGGATTTCTGATTTGAGTAGAACCGGGTCGGCCCGTTAAAATTGCCGGTTGACCCGTAACTTGGCTACTTTGGTCTTATATATTCTTTGAGCTGAAAGTCTCAAGTTCGTTGGTTGTGGGAATGGCTGGGGCGCGCACTTGCTTGCTGTTCGCCCGGGTTCGATTCCTGTCACGGATTATTATTGGTGTGATGCACTGCTACTGTGTCAACTCATTCTTCTATTGGTCGTCTGATTTGGGTTTTGCAAATCGGGCCTTGTCGACTGACTTTATTGGCAATTGGTCGTCTGATTTGGGTTTTGCAAATCGGGCCTTGTCGACTGACTTTATTGGCAAATTATGCTATGCGCAGTCGTTTAACTGGAAACGACGCTGTTTTAACTAAAAAGAAAAAAATTGTTTGAAACGGCGTTAACGGCATATTCGTTATGAAATTATGAATATACAGTTATGACATTATGAATGTACAGTTATAGAATTATGAATGTATAGTTATGGAATTATGAACATAGAGCTTCGAAAATTATGAATGTTCGGTATGGAATTATGAATATACAGTATGGAATTATGAATGTACAGTTATGGAATTATGAATGTACAGTTATGAAATTATGAACATAGAACTCTGACATTATGAACATAGAGCTTCGAAAATTATGAATTTACAGTTATTGAATTATGAATGTACAGTTACGGAATTATGAATGTACAGTTATGGAATTATGAATGTACAGTTATGAAATTATGACTGTACAGTTATGAAATTATGAACACAAAGCTGTGAATATATGCTCCTATAACGAAGCGGTCTGAAATTAAATTAAAAAAAAAAAAAAAAAAAAAAAAAAGATAACGGTGCCTGACGGCACCGTTACCGTGCCCATGATGCACGCTGGGCACGAGTCCACAACATAACGATCCGACTTTATTTGATGCTTCATTTGGGCATGGTTTAATTAAATTTTTCTCATTAGTGGTATGCTACAATTGGGCTTGGTTTAATTTAAATTACTCATTTAATTATTCGGCTTTTATTTTCATTCTTGCTTTTGTATTTGTTATCAGGGGTGGTATGCCCCGATGTAACTTATACGAACGGATCTTCTGCTTTTATTTATATTTTCTGAAAATACATCTCATTTATCAAGATAATGAGTACAATCTATAAAACAGGACACAATCAAGCTGTTACAAACTACTAATTGAATACCAAATCCGTATGCAGATTAAACAAAGCAACCAATGAACGTTCTCAACATTGGATCTATCACATTTGAAACAAACCCGCATTTCCAATCACTCCGAGCCTGTAACAACACTATATTCACAAGCTAAGTTATTTAATTTATGTCAATATATATATATAAGCAAGTAGATATCTAGAACTAATTCTAGATATCTTCTTGCATTGACCTACTACTTTCCTAATTCTGGGCTAGTGATATGTAGAAATCTCCATTTCACTCCATGCGAGCGAAGAACATCTAAGCTTAAGATTTCTTCCTCTCATTTTGAATCTGAGTATTGTGCTTTGCAAGCTCCACTCAAATTGATGGAGGCAGGTTCTTGGTTCTCAAATCGTAGTTCTGAGGCTGATGTTTTAGAAACTTCAACCTCAGTGGCTCAGAACATGGGCAATCTGTTGTCTTTTTACACAAAACTTCGGTTACGATTAGTTTTTGGGAACAATATCTTTGAATTTATAGACAAAATGAGGTAGGTTCTTAAGCTTTTCGCCAGATTCTTCGGTACTAACAAACCCACTTCTTTCTTTGGCGATGCAAAAATTTCATAGATTCGGACAATGGCAGATGAACTACCTTGGCCAGATAAGTCATTGCACCAGGTTTAATTCAGATTAATTACCTCCTCTGCTCTTCATTATTTATTATGATGCTTTGCAAATTGTACTCAAATTGAGGCCTGTTCTTCATATTCAATTCCTTCGCAGGGTTTACACCTGGACTCTCAGAAACATCCTCATCCTCAAACTCCTGATAACAACAAAATATTAGAAAACATATTGGTTTTTTTTTAAGGGAAAACATATTGTTAATAGTATATAATCTTAAATTAATTACATAGTACACCTCTTCTTAAAAGTCATAATTGTCCTAGGGTTGCAATTCAGAGGTTAGGTCCTTATCTGGTTTGTCCAACAGCTCAGGAAATAAACTGTCACCAAGGTCTTTCATAGATTCTTCATTTTGGAAACGGGTATTCTTCTCTCTGATAATAATTTTATACAAATATCAGAATTCAAAAACAATAGAAAACCGAATGCAATTGCAACCACAGTTTGGAAGCTATTTATCTGGGATACTCACCAATACTAAGATGTAGAGGGGCTGAGGGTATTGGAAGGCTCACAGATGATAAGTTACTTAACATTTGAACAACTTCACCCATTGTTGGTCTATCTTTAGCATTTCCTTGAACACACAACAATGCAACTTGGATGCATTTAATTATATCATCCAATGGACTTGATATACCCGTCAACATTGGATCTATTACATTTAAAGAAGACCCTTTTGACCATTCTATCCAAACCTGTAAAAACAGGTATTAGTCGCATGCCATTTATGACAATTCAATTTGTTACTTATATGCATCTCTATACTTATAATATTCATACTTACATAGCATGAAAGGTATGCGAAATGATCCTCCGAACTTGCCAAGGGTCTATCAAATCTTTGTCCACTTATAATTTCCAGGATTAACACTCCAAGACTATATACGTCTGATTTAACAGATAATTCACATCGGAGAACATATTCTGGTGCCTCATATCTACTGCAATGCGAAATAGATAAACGTGTTATGTTAAAAACGAAATATTGAGCTAATAAAGAGTGTATATTTATAACATCATAGATAAGCTAATAATTAACTAAATCTCAACAAATATAACAACTTGATAGCATTGTAATCTTCAACATGTTACTCCAATAAGTTGACTAATCAAATTACTTTGCAATGCATCATATTCCACCTCTAGATTAAATATTTAGTAAGTAGTACTTACACAGTTTTCGACCCAAATTCATATCCAATGTAATCTTTGTCCAAAGCAAACCGAGCCATGTGAAAATTTTTAATTTTTGGGTTTAAATCTTCATCCAGCAAAATGTTTCTAGCATTGAGATTGCGATGTAGACGAGTGTCTTCGTGCAAAAAAACAAGCCCTTTGCCTATTCTTTCTATTATTTTGTAGCGTCTCCCCCAATCCAAATATCCACGTTTTACCGGATCTGCATGTCAACATTTAACAAATAACATAAGGTTTCAAATTCCTAAACCAAACTAAAAGCCCAGTTTAAATGTTTAATAAATATTTACCAAATAAAAAGTTTTCAAGGTTGCCATTTGGACAAAATTCATAGACAAGAATACTTTCTCCTCCTTCTTGGCAGCAATAACCAAGTAGCCTCACAAAATTATTGTGTTGAACACTAGCTATTAAAGTCACTGCATTTTGAAATTCTTGAGCTCGCCCTTCATATTTCTTAAGCCTCTTCACAGCAACTTGTATTCCATTTTTAAGTTTTCCCTGAATCATTCCAGATTTAATATAAATAACATTGAGTTATTGAAATTTTAAATTTTTATTAAATTGTAACCATTAATGTTAAATTTACCTTGTATACTGGCCCCAATATCCCTCCTCCTAACCTGTTTGCTTCAGAGAAGTTCTTTGTTGCATTTTGTATGGTAATCAATTTATATTCTAGAAGAGACTCCACAGGACTAATTTCAACACTTGAGCTAGATTCTTCCAAAGCTTCATAACCTTTGGGCTTCCATAAAAATTTTCTTTTCAGGGAATCCATAAGAAGAAATTACCTGGCGCCAAGGCGGCTGTGAAGAAGCGTTCGCGGCTGTGGGAGCTTTTCGCAACTGAGGGCTGTGGAATGGGAAATTAAACCAAAACATATACTAATTAAATAGAGTCCATACGGCATTTCAAAAAAAAAAAAAAAATTAAACCAAAACATATACCAAATTCCTTGCATTCAAAAAAAAATATACCAAATTCCTTGGCGGAAAAATAATGTAAAAGTCAAACACTAACCTACTCTAGAAACTCCATGGATATTTTTTGTTGAACTTTTTGTTCTTGCTAGCTGTCGCTATTGACAAGTCTCATTTCTTTTCAAAACGTTGAATTCCAAACCCTTGTTATTCTTGTCTTTGCTAGCTGCCGCTATTGACAAGTCTCATTTTTTTTTCAAAACGTTGAATTTCAAACCCTTGCCATTTTTGTCCTTGCTAGCTGCCGCTATTGACAAGTCTCATTTTTTTTCAAAACGTTGAATTCCAAACCCTTGTTATTCTTGTCCTTGCTAGCTGCCGCTATTAACAAGTCTCATTTAAACGGATGTGTATTATCAACAATTTTTCACTTTTGTCAATATTTTATGACAAATCTCACATATATGTGTATTATTTTAAAAAACTTTAGACGGATGTTTCCTTACTAAAATTCAAAGTTCATATGTCACCGTGATTTACATCCTCCCACATACTCTATCGGGTTGGAGTGTAGGGGACCCTTAGGGTTGGGGATTCAACCTTTGGGATAAGAATTATATTTATTAGATTAACTTCACAGTATTAAAAGTATTGGACACCATAAGTTAAAAAACATAGAAATATTATATTTGAGTGAAAATGTTAAAATTTCAATTTGGACTCGTTAAAAATGTGTTAGGAAGTTTGGGTTGACGATTTTTTTTTTTTTTTTAATTCAAAAACACCCAAAACATTTAATTTAAGTAGTTTGTTACCCAAAAATACACAAGTAAAGAACCAAAATTACTACAACTAATGTAAATTGTGGACAATTATTTTAAAAGTCAAGAATCAAAATTGTGTTCTCAAATTAGGTTGGGAGGAAGGAATTATGAAGGAAATGAATTGCAATTCGGTGGGAAAATAATAAGGTAGGAATTGAATTCAAATTACATTGTTTGGTATGAGAAATAGAATTATTGGGAATGAGAATGAAAAAAGTGGTATAAAGACTAAAATGTCATTGTATAATAAGAAGAATAACAATCATCAATGGTATTTTTGTCTTTCATCCATTTTTTCTTTCCCAAAAGCATTGAATTGCAATTCAACAAAAGAAGGGAATTGCAATTCTGTCCAACTAAACACTGTAATTTGTCTTACAATAAAATAAATTAAGAAAAGAATTACAACTACATCCAACCAAACACCCCTTCAGTTCACAGGGGACAGACAGACGCGCAAGCATAGCACCATTTACCGAGGTTTGCGATGATTCAAAGTCAAAGTCAAAGTCAAAGTCAAAAGTCAAATTCAATACTAGTCCTTGATATGTACAACTCTCATTTTCATATTACTGTAGTGGTTGAAGTAGTGATGCTATGGAGGAATCTCATATCTGGGAGCTAAATGATTCAAAGTTAAAGTCAAAGTCAATGTCAATTCACCCCATCAATGCACTCACTATACATCACATGCATGTCAATTCACTAAAGTCTTCCTTTTTCTTATTTTAGTATGAGTAACAAAGACATCTCCTTTCCTCTTTGGGTTTAAAACAATTGGACTCCCAGTGGCAAATTAGGTGGCAGAAGTTTGAATCATTTAATTCAATGTTGGACAGAAAGAAAGAATGGACGGGGATGACACTACTGGAAATTATGAAATTTCCGATCACTTGAAAGTGATTTTAAATTAAGTTGATATCAAAAGGTGGTCGGAAATAGCAACAAAAATTTTTCTAGATATCAAAAGTGGTCGGAATAAGACTTTCGATTTGATTTAAAATCACTTTTAGATGGTCGAAAATTTCATAATTTTTAGTAATGTGATGAGTCTTCCGGGACCCACCGGCTATGGTAATCAGTATCCTACACGCAAGAAACATCCCATAACTGGGGTGTGGGGCCCGCTCTACGCCATAATTAGCAACCAAAATCTATTTATGGAAGTATTTGCTTTAATTTCTTTCTCTTTTTCTGATGGATACATTGCATGGAGTGTCTATAATATATATTCATAACTTTCTCCAATCTGCTTGCCATTTCGTCTACCCTTTGACTGCTTCCCATTTTCTACTGGGACGGTGCTGAATTTGGGAATGTAGTAGACGTGTCATTAAATGAATTTTCTATAAAAAAAATTATTATTTTTTAAATGTGCCACAAAAGTCTCAATTTTTAGAATTGTCAATATCCAGTTGGTATTGGAAAAGAATAAGAAATTTCTTAAACATGGAATATATTGAGAGGGAAGCTGATAGAAGAGAAATGCAATTTGTATACGTATTCTTAGTAGTAATAAGGGAGGGTTTGTTTCAGGCCATCTTTGATTTTCTAGATAATTTGAGTCTGGTAATGTCATATTATCTTGTTTGGTTCAAGTTATAAGATTACATGGTAATGTTATGAGTAAATACCCAAAATGGTCCCTCGACTATAGCTAAATTTACAAATTGGTCATCGACTTTCAATTTTAACCAATTAAGTCCTTAACTTTGCAATTTTAACACAATTTGGTCCTCTGTCTATTTGACCGTTTGTTGACTGTGATTTTTGAGGATATATATGTAATTTCATGGTCCATCGTCGGATTTTTAAGGTTCCGGTTGCATTTCCAGACCGCACTGTTACATTTTAATCCACTGTCGAAAGCAATCTACCAAATCCGGTCGTCTTTCTTCATCCTCCCTTTGGATTCAATGTAGTTGAGTTCGTACCAAAGCGAAGAAGGCGACGTGTTTCCGAACCGGTGCGACGTCATCCTGGAGGCCTCCACGTGCTCCGACGAGAGCTGAAGGTTCTTCTGGAGATCGTCAGTCACGGTCAACAAATGGTCAAATAGATGGAGGACCAAATCGTGTCAAAATTGCAAAGTTAAGGACTTAATTAGTTGAAATTGAAAGTCGATGACCAATTTGTGAATTTAGCTATAGTCGATGGACCATTTTAGGTATTTACTCTAATGTTATATTACCTGAAAGCTGATGTGGCGGTAATGTGATTACCTCAATTTTCTTAGGTAATTTTAAATTACTTTGAATTATTCCAACTTTGTCATTGTTAATTAATTAATTAATAATAATAATAATAATAATAATAATAATAATAATTTATTTATACAATAAAATATTCATGTGTATATTAATATATTTAGTTTTTTAATATTTGAACATTGATATACATTCATACATATAAATAAATAAAATAAATATACACACATAAATAGTGTGTGTGTGTGTATATATATATATATATATATATATATATATATATATATATATATATATATATATATATATTATTGAGGACATTATTGTAAATTGATCCATATAACCTAAAATATAACCCTTAACCAAACAACATAATATTATATTCCACAATCCAAACCAAACACATGTAATCTTACATTCCGATAATCTCACATTATCTTTCTGGAGGTAATCCTATTACTTGGGATAATCCAAAATTCCGTGAACCAAACGTCCCCTAAAAGTAATCACACACACACTTAATCTTAGTCAAGTCATTGTGGGAATCTAAAACTATTAAAATATTATTAATTAACACTTATAATAACCAAATTAAAAATCTAATTTCCTTAATTTGTCAATGTGGAACAACATACACCAGGAGTAATATTACATGTGTTCTGACTTGGGAGGGATGATCCATGTTATAAAAAAAATGGCAGAAATTCAATTATTTGTCATTCTGTTATATTCCAGCAGCATACATGTCTCATATTGTAGTTTCAGCCTAGCATTGACGTAAAGAACTACAAAGGGCACTTGATGGTCCTGTTAATTAAAGAATGATCTGACATGAAAATATGTTTCAAAGAATTGTATAATATTATTAACATTTTTTTCCATAAAGAAGTCTTTTTAAAAAAGGATAGCGGTCATAACAAGAAGCTAGGAGATATTAAAAAAAAAAAAAAAAACAAATTTATGTTAATTAAACTCCAAATCTCCAACTAAGTTAATCAAATAGTTAGTTAACATTCTAAGTTTAACTTATGGTAAAAATGACTTATTGTCCTTCTTAGTTTGAGCCTAGGGTCACAATATGCGCTTCATCCATTTTGTACATCCAAGTAACAGTATAGATTTAAAAAAAAAAATAATAAAAATTCCGCACGAACTTAGCTCAATAGTTCAGTAGACAGTATTTAGAAGAAGAAGTCAAGATCAATTGTGTGTACCAATATTTGGCCATGTCTACTAAGTCATTGGGATGTGGGAACCTTGGGATTAGCGGGGGATTTAACCTTTAGGGGGCGTTTGGTTCAGGTTATATAAGATAACCAATGTTATATTTGCTTGCTATGGACATTAAGTTTCAATAACTATGGACATTAAGCACAAAACTCACGTACATTAAGCACAAATTCACGCACATTAAGTACAAAACTCACGTACATTAAGCACAACCTCACGCACATTAAGCACAAAACTCACGCACTTTAATTATTAACTCACAGACTTTAAGTTTTAACAACTACTCACATCAAGCACAACCCCACGCACATTAAGCACAAACCTCACACACCTTACGCACAAACCTCACGCACCTTACGCACAAACCTCACGCATAGTAATCACAGATCCGCTCACCTTAATTTTGACCTAGATGCAAAAATTACAAAATTGCCACCGCATTTTTTTTTTTTTAAATTTTGGTAATCCTGGGCGTTGATTTAAGCGAGATGAATGGCCCAGATTAAACCGCACAACCGCACCTGGACACCTTAACCGCACCGGAACCTAATTCTACACACACACACACACACACACACACACACACATATATATATATATATATATATATATATATATATATATATATATATATATATATATATTTGACTCATTTTTTGTGATTTTATCAAAATACTAAAATGAATATTTGGTAAATACTGGATTGTCTATGTCTTGCAAAATACAAGGCAAATTATTGAAATGGGAAACAAGTACTAAAAAGGAATAACATTTCAAATTGACAGATTCCATTTATTTGAGTAAGAAGAAATGAGTTGACGACAGTCTTAAAATTAATTTTCCTTTTTTCTTTT